AAGTAGTTCGGCTGCTCATCCACTATTGGTCCAGACTCTATCAATCTTGTCGCGAAACGACGTTATAGGAGGTACGTTATACGAAAGTTGCTACAATTTTTTCGCTACGTTATAGGAATTGTCGTTATAGGAACGTACGTTATAGGGGGGTCGACTGTAATGAATTTAGAGTAATCATCTAAAACAGTGTTTCTCAACAGGGGCGATATTGCCCCCATGTGGGCGTTTTTCCATGTTCAGGGGGCGATTTGTAACAATTATATTTTGGGGGCGAAAAACAATTTTCTGGGCGATATATTAAAACATTATATTAAGATTAATTAATTAGTTATTTTATTCGTTATATCGTACAATAATTAAACAAACAACTTTATACTAGTCACTAGTCTATTCAATGCAGTATGAATTTGGCGTTAACCCTGGCCCTCGGTATCAGAATTTTGAAGTGAAGGGGGCGATACTACGTAACGGTTTTATTGAAGGGGGCAATACTACATTGAAGGGGGCGACAATTCGTTAGAGGTTGAGAAACATTGATCTAAAATATTGTTCTGCAACCTTTTCTTATGAATAACTATTTATTTATAGAAATATTGATGTTATGCTATCTATTAAGTTTAAATACTTTATTTACTATTTTTTTATAAATACACTGGTGTCCAAAATTAAGATAAAACACAAATTATAGAATATCTAAAAAAACACTTGAATCAGGACAAAATTTAGTACACAGATACCTCATGCCATGAGTTAGTCAGACATCAGTCATACAAAATGAAAACAAAAAATTAATGTCTGAAGATATGAACATTTTGCCAAGTGTACTCAAAACATGAAATAGCAAATCCTGAAGAAAGAAGTCACTAATAGGGAATATGACCATCTTGACAATTAAATAGTACCCACAATGAGCTATCATGTTGTTTATAAGGTTCTACGGAAGACTTTGGGGCAATAAATCCCACACTTAGCTCAAGACAGGTCCTGGAGGGGCTAATATGCCACAATGGTCCATTCCAGACATGCTCAATCTCTACTTTAGTGGTCATTTCCTTGATGGTCAAGATAGAGTTGGCAGGTTATCAATCTGCCAATTCTATCTTGACTCATCAGAAACATAATAAGAGTCCACTGATTCTTGTGTCCAGAGATAATGCTCATGAGACTAGAAAAGATAGTCTCACCTGTGGGAAGGACTGAGGGGGCACATTAACTTTAAAAATTCAATAATGCAAAAAGTTGTGCAAAGTAGTATAGTATAATACTTAAATATCCTTAAGCAAAGAAAAAAGTACAAATAATATAAATAAATAATAGAAGTTTTATAGACATTTTTACTTTCAATAAAGTATGTTTGAAGTTAATTTTATATCTCAATGTATTTTTAAATAATATCACATGTCAAGTACACATTACATTCTCAACTAATTATTAACGTATTCTCAAAAACTTGATGGTAAAATTAAATAATTAATTTAGTTTAATAACTTGGATTTTCCATAATATTATAATACCAATTCCTAACAAATATTAAAAATTCATTATACATTACTGTATATATATATATATATTTATTAAATTTCTACCTTTAACATAAAGATAGTATTATTCATATGAAAATGTATTAATAAAATAGTTGTAATTCATTTTATTTTATTTTTTCAAAGTTTTGAGTGATTATTAGATCTTAAAAGCTCCTATTAAAAATTCTACAATAGTCATAGTATTTTATGAATTAATAGCTGTTACCCGCAACTTTGACCATGCAGATTTTGCAAGCAAACACCATTTATATTCAGTATTTCAACAACCATAGTAATTGTTATATAACACCTACCACTGAGAATGATGAGAACTGCTGAAAATCAAATGAACTGTTTTCAATTTGATCAATTTTCTGGAACGTTTACAATCATTCTATAATTGAACCAATATGCAATAACAAATTTGAATTTAAAACTGTTGGAACATTTGGTTAATAAATCAAAATATATAAAAATATTTATAACAATGTCTGAAATGTTATAATTTAATACACCTAAGTACTTAATGAAGACTAATCGTAACAAAAAATCGCATGTGAAATAGTACAGTAGAAGCCATTCTTCCTGTTAANTATAATTGAACCAATATGCAATAACAAATTTGAATTTAAAACTGTTGGAACATTTGGTTAATAAATCAAAATATATAAAAATATTTATAACAATGTCTGAAATGTTATCAATTTAATACACCTAAGTACTCAACGAAGACTAAATGTAGTTAAAAACAAAAAATCACATCTAAAATAGTACAGTAGAAGCCGTACTTCAGGTTAAGCCTTAATGCTCTCCTCCTCACCTGCGGGGGAATTTTCAAAAATTCCTTCTTAGTGTGCATTCTCATGGCGTACCCTAACTGTGTACCAAATTTCATCTCTCTAGGTTCAGCGGTTTGCTCCAGGCAATGATGAATCAATCACTCAGTCAGGACAAGAATTTTATAAATTTAGATTTCAACACACAAATGTATTTACTCTCTTCTGTAATATATATTTTCTTTTAATTTTATCTATAATATTGGGATTCTCAAGATTAACTGTATATAAACAAAAGTCAGAAAAAAAAAAGTTCAAATTATAAAAGATAATATACTTATGATAAATGTAATGCATTATTTAGATATTTGTAATTGATTATATTAAGTAATTATTGAATTTTTAAGCATTTAAAAATTATTTTTATACTTTATGGAGAAGGAAACTCTTAATAGTTTATTTTTATTTACATTTAAAATTCAGTAATTGATTTTATGTTTCATAAGACACATTTTTTGAATATTGAAAGCTAAATGTTTTGCAATAATTGAAATATAATGCTCATGTTATTCAAATTTAAAAGAAAAGAAAAAAAAAGAAAGAAATTAAAAACTAGTTAATAAAGCTATACAGTAGACCCCCCTATAACGCTTAGATACGTTCCACGCTAACCGAAAATTACGTTGTAGGAATGAGCCAATCACAGCCCAATAGGTGGGAACTTTACGGACTAAGGCTGTTCGAAAGGTTTTCTTCTATAAAATTAACCGATTCTAGACTAATTNATCTGCTTTAAATATTACTGATTTTCATTCATAATAATGAATAATTACACCAAACTGTTTTAATTTTCTACATCTCAAGTACAAAAAGCTAGAAATGTACATGACATTAAATTTATGCATTAGACTGACAGATACTTTGTAACTATGTACAGTATGTATAACTCTATAGTTCAGGTGAAGCACATAATAATTTGTATAGCAAAAGAAAAAACATATTTCCTTTTTATAAATGTACTGTTAAAAATCTACGTATAATGTGTTTAAAATATTTAATTTTCTAAATGATGGTGCAGTATAGATAATCATCATTCAACACTTGTTTATTTATCAAGTAAATTTTATCAATAAAAAGTTAACATAATTATATAGTTATTATTATTAGTTACCTTATGAAATAATATATTTAATTTTTAAATTACCTTTGGGTTAACAATATTTACAATCACATCTGCATAAGTCCTTAATTGAAAATTACTTGCAATAGATTGTTCAATGCTAATTGTATCTAATTTAAAAAATAATTTCATTTTTTTAATAATATAATATTTTAAATATTTTAGAAATGTAAATAAAAATTACCTTTTTGGAGTTCTTCTTTAAAGCAAGTAACTTGTAACAATAAACGACTATAAAAATAAACAAGACAGTAAATGTATCACAAATAAAAAATATTTTTATAAATCAAAATCATAATATGTATATTTTATTTTCATATAATATATGAAGACAAATATTTAAAGATTTTATTTTGAATAGGACTGTAAAATTGGAGTCAGAAGCAAATTTAAATGAAGTCAGATTTTGATATCTTAAGAAATTATTTTAAGAATTAACAATTTTGCACCATATAATATTATTCTCTTAGTCTTAATTGTGTAAATTTCTATTTTTACTATTATTATTATAGCCACTATTAAATTTTCTTAACCATACTATCACTAAATGTGGGAGATAAAAAAAAACCATAAAAACATAGTTACAACAAGCATTAGAGTTATACTTAAGTATCAAGTCTAAAAATTAGCCTTAAGACTGATGTAGTTATGCAGAAATATTTCAAGATACACATTAACCATTTTAGTAGGTTTAACAATATTAAGTATGAAATTCTGAAATTCCCATTTATAAAAAATTTTTTTACCATTAAGTTAATGGTATGTGTATATGTTCTATATGTATATCCAGCAGTTGCAGCTAAGCCAGTACTGGATATACAAAATTATACTTATAAGTTAGTATAATTTAACTATGTATAATTACTGAATTGTAATTGTTAAAATAGTTAAATTTAACTGTTTTCAATTAAATTCAGAAATTCATCTGAAATTGGGTACTTTGTTGTACTTATCTCTATTTATCTGTCAAAGAGAATCTTTCCTGACTTTTTATATCAGTAGTATCCAACTAGATATGCCCTGACACAATTTAAGGAGTCAGTGTCTGTAAGAGCTAATGATTTAGGGCCTCCAGCTAATTTGACTCCAACAATTCAACACAGGTTAATATGAGCCATTTCAGTGAAAGGTTAACTTGACACAATTATTACAAAAAAGATAATAAAAATGAAATTATTATACTATAAAAAATGATAACTTCTTATGTGTTTGCTTTGGTATAGGAAGAATTGACTTTATTTTCTTGGCTAGATGAATATTTTCATAAAATAAATACTATTTTCTTTAGTAATAATTCATATGTAATTAAAATAATTTTAAATTTTTTGAATGATTATTTGTTGGTATTAGAGATTTAACTATTATTTTATAAATTTAAAACCATTGAATCATATTACAAAAGCTACATTTGTGCTAGACTATCATGTTTACTGGCTATTATTACTATTCTGTACACTTTAAAGTGGTAAAACTGGATTTTTATGTACTCCATAAAGATCATAGCAGTGATTATTTTATCACATACCATCTAAATAATTATGTTTGAATAACATATAAAAAAATTAGAATAATAAAAATAATAATAATAATCAAATTTGCTTGCATTAAATTGTACTCACATCAAATTCTGTATCAAATTGAACTCACATCAAATTCTGTATCAAATTGACCTACAGGCATGATTGGTAATGTAAAACACCAGATATTAATGGTATTGTAACAATATTATATCTTGGTTGTTGTCAATCAGGTTAATCTATTTACTGAGTGGAAGTTACTTTAATGTTATTTATTGATTCTAACAAACTTTTTGTCATTTTTTACAGGGTATAAGATGTTATCTAAGCATTACACTCAATATCTCTGAATGGTAAATTATATTGCCTGACTTGCACATCTGATATTTGAAAACTACATACAGCTTTAGCCACTGTTGTAATATATATTAAAAATCAATGTTCAACTTATTTACTATCAATTTTTAAACATAATGTACCGGTACAAAGTTGGTGCCTCAAAAGACATTCAATTGAATTCATAATATTCAAAAAAATTAATTTGACATAAGTTATACTTATTGAGAACAAAATTTATATATATCCTATATGTATAAATTTTATCTTATAATTAAATATAATGAACTTCATGTAATTATTTATCCAGCTACATACATTCCTGAACACTTTAAATAGTGTTCAGAAGTGAAGTGGCTGGATAAATAATAATAATATCTGTATGAAGTTCAAAGCTCTGTCAAAATATTGATTAAATATAATAATAATTTTAATGTGACATGTATTCAATATTTGTTAGAAAAATGACTATTAAATATAAATACAGCACATATTAATAAATAAGTTAATACATTATTTATATTTGAACATTATTTTTTATTTCAAATATTTCTAAACATTCAATGTTTAGATAAAAATAAAAAAATGCTGATGTCTAAGAATAAAACTACAAAATAAAATTTTTATTTAATAGATTTGAATGTTTAAAATAAAAATTATAAGTCATATTACATGAATAAGGATGATAATAAAATAAAATAATCTAAATATATAAAATTACTTGTCCAGATTGACTGACTGAGTAATTCATCATCGCCTGGAGCAAACTGCTGAACCTAAAAAGGTGAAATTTGGTACATAGAGTATGTCATGAAAATGCACACTAAGAAGGGATTTTTCGAAATTCCCCCTGCAGGGGAGAGGAAAAGGATTAAGGCTTAACCTGAAGAACAGCTTCTAATGTACTATTTTAGATGCAATTTTTTATTTTCAACTATGTTTAGTCTTCATTGAGTACTTAGATGTATTAAATTGATAACATTTCAGACATTGTTATAAATATTTTTATATATTTTGATTTTTTAACCAAATGTTCAAACTGTTTTAAATTTGAATTTGTTATTGCATATTGGTTCGGTTATAGAATGATTGTAATGTTCCAGAAAATTAATCAAATTGAAAACAGTTCGTTTGATTCTCAGCAATTATCATTCTCAACGGTAGGTGTTATATAACAATTACTATGGTTGTTGAAATACTGAATATAAATGGTGTTTGCTTGCAAAATCCGCATGGGCAAAGTCGCAGGAACAGCTAGTCTGAAATATTCTCCTTCAAAATTTACTAAAACTTTAATTTCGTAATTCCCTCTTATTCAATTAAAAACTAAAATTTATATTAGACAATGAAATAAAATTATCATTTCTACTTATCAAGCTTCAATTACTACTTCAAAAACAAATTTATATACAAAATCAATCTTTCAAAATTACCTGTATTCATCTTCAGGAGAATAAATTTCAACTATATCACTAGTTTTCAATGATGGGAAATCTTTTTGGTTTATGACTAGACTTTCCTCTGAAATCATATCAATTACAATGAAATATAATTCATTATCTAAATAATAATTATTATTGCTGTTAGATAACATTATAAAGAAACATTTTTAAATTAGAAAAACAATTAAATAAATATAAGAAAGCATATGCATTAAAAAATATATATTTAATACATATACTTTCTTTTATTCTTTGATTAACCGATATCTATATATATATACAGTAGAGCGTCGATTTTCCAAATCAATTGGGGACTGGGGTTGTCCAGATAACTGATATTTCGGATAACTGATTTACGTACGAAAAAATAGTTTAACGTATCCGATGTCGAAATTTTTATCTGTTGCGTGTCGCTTCGCGTTGAATTTTCGTCAATGTGAAGCCTAACAAAGACTATTATATCGTTAAAAATTATTTTTTTATTTTGTACGAACAAAATAAATATATTTAAAAATATAAAAATAATAAAAAATTATACTTCAGATGTTAATTTAATATCAAAAAGGTAAAATATTTGAGTAACCCAAGACATAGCCAAAGATTGAAGCGCCACAGCACTGGCGAAAATTTAAATTTGCCGACTGGAATTCTTTCGGATGATTGACTTTCGG